CAAGGGGCCGCCCGCCCCTGGTCCTCGGCACAGGCGTCCCTCAAGCCACCCTGTCAGCCCCAGGGACCGGCTGCAGCAGCCCATTAGCAGTGCGTCAATGAAAGAAGAAAGGGAGATTAAAAACCCAGAGCCAAGTGCATGTATCAAATATAAGGGACATTAACAAATCCTTCACAGCTGTTTTCTGGTTTTTGAAGTTAGGCATGTAAAAGTAGCACCAGTTCCTGAGCTACCAGAAAAGGAGCCCAAAGGGGACGAATCCGTGATGTGTCACATCAGGAAAAACACAGATAGGGACCCGCAGGGCAAGGACACCCCAGTCACACGTGACACGAACAGTCCCTTTGCGCTCTGCAGCGAGGCCAGGCGTGACACTGATGCTGGCAGGGCCTGGAGCTGCGATGCCGAGACGTGTCATATGCCCGCACGAGCCACCGCAGAACAGTGCCCGTTGTGGGGCTCCTAGCCCCTCCAGCGGCCCGGGCACCCCGGGAGCAAACTCGAATTCCTGAGTGCCAGGCTTGCTGCTGTCCTGCATCGTTTCCCTCCGCGCAGGAAAAGAAAACCATCCCAACTCGCCCTGCACCTTCAGCAAGGATGAGCCGGTTTTCATTCTGGCTTTCGGCTCTCGGAGGTGGGACAGTGATCCCCTCCGCCATGCTGAGGGCCACGAGCCCCAGCTGCTCTCCTGGAGGACACGGAGCCGTCTCTCCGTGCAGGGGACGGAGCAGAGCAACGCGAGCCCACTGTGCCTGGGAGCCCAGGGATGCTGCCGTGCTCAGAGCCCCCCAGGACAGGAACGGCTCTGTGGTGGGGCCAGGAGCCAGGGGCAGCGCCACGGGGCTGCAGCAAGTTTCCTCTTGGAGCCTCCTCCCAGCAGGGCTAAATGACGCCCCGCGGCAGCCCTCGGCCTCCCTTGCACAGGGGATTATTTTCTCTGCAGCGTTTCACCCCTGCTCAGATGCCAGCACTGACTCCCAGACGGGTCCTGCACAAACTCTCTCCCAAGGCAGGGAGGGGAGCAGCAAAACCAGGGAAACGGCCCAGCCCGAGAACCAGCAGGTCGACCTCCTGCGTCCGTCAGGCCCTGAGCAACAGCACTGAGCCTGACGCGAGGCTGCAGCATCGCTCCCACCGGAACAAACGCAGTGAGCGGCACGAACCCGCTCTGCCCGAGCTGCCCTGCTCCCGAGGGAGGTGTTTGGCTCCCACGGACACAGTCATGGAAGCGGCAAAGCATGAAGTAAAGGAGCGTGGTAGAGATGCACACGGAGAATTCAGCATCGTCTGCCCTGCCTGGCTCCAACAGCTGTGTGCAATGAGGGAGCTCAGTCCCGAGCAGAGGTATGAGATCATGTACTGCTGTTCATCACTCAAAGCTAGAGCCATTCCTTCTTTGCAGAAGGCTATAAAAAGGCCAGCATAATTCTTATTGTCTTTTCTCCTCCTCTTTTTTTTTTTTTGATTTATAAAAAGCTTTTGCAAAACAAAAGTGTGCACCTCATTAAACTTCTGTACCATCGGGCAGATTGCTGTGGACTTGGACTTCTAAGTTCACCTGCTTCACCTTCCCACCTTTCACCTTTGAGGCACCCGCACTTTCCCTCAGGATATTAATGTTCCTCACAGGGCAGTATTGGCTGTTCAGAGCCTTCTCCGCTCCCTTGGGCAGCTCCACCTTGGTGTTCAGGACATGCTCCTCCACGATGGCTCTGGCAGCCTCCTTCTTCCTCTGCAGCTTTCGACACTTCCTGGTGATGAAGCAAACTCCCAAAAGCACCAGCAGCAGCAGCATGACAGCAGCGAACGCACTCCCGAGAGAAGTGCCCGTCTGCAATAAGGAGGCCGCAACAGCTGCTTCTTCCATCTCCAAGATCAGCGATTTCATGTTGGTGCCGTTCTTGATCTGCTCGCCTTCGTTGTCATAGACCAAGGAGTCGTCCAGCATCAGCCTCCCATCACTGTCGACCAAGGCCCTGCGGCCACGTTTCAACTGGTGAGTGAGAGATCGCTGAACACGAGGCCCCGCAATACTCTCTGGGCCAATTATGTAGATGACTTGAAGGTACCACTGATGCCCAGCTTCCACCTTGAAGAAAGAGAACACATGCACACAGGAAATTTTACCGACAGTTTTTAGATCAAGCAATTTTTCTTTTTTTAGGCAAAGGTAGAGCTGGTTGCATTTTTTTTGTCCAGCTTTTTGACTCATAAAGATATCGACAAAAATGCTCACTATGCTTCTAGAATACCTGCAATACTATCTGTCACCCAGTTTGGTGATCACTCTTCCTGACTATCTTTGGCAACTGTAATAAATAATTAAGAAACATTAAGAACCTGTTTTTAAAGAGCTGCTTTTCTGCATGCTTTGAGAAGGTACTTTTCCAGAAGAGCTTAAAAAAACAGAGTAATTTCTTCAGCGCCATTTTCTGTACTGGAGCATTTGCTTCTTAACTGGCTCCCCTGTTAATTTATGGTACAACCTCAAGAAAGCCAAGAAACCACACAGGCAAGAAGAGTTCACTGGGCTACAGAAGGCCTCTTTGAGGAGGGGCAAAAAACCCCAGAAATCAGCATACACAGTTATACAACATACGCAATCACGAGCTTCCTCTGTGTGCATCCTGAGAGGGTGGTCTCTGCTACGATCTAGCCCTGCTCCTCCACATCTCACAGCGTCCACCATCTCCGTACCGACAGGAGTCGTGATCAGGAGTCTCCTGCCCCCGTAACTGGGAAGAGGAGCCAAGAGCTCCGAGCTCCTGCTACCTTCAGTGAACTAGGGGGAACGCCACACAGTTTTTGCACCCAGGTGCCGAACAGAGGCTCTGGTTTCTCACATTGCGTTAATACTGAGACAAACCAAGCAGAGAGCTTCCACAACACGGTCCACAAATGCGACTGTGCGTATGCGAGTCCACCTAGCTGCAGGAGACCACGTCGTGGGTGTTGAGACGAGCGCTAGCGTGTCCCACCTCACCGTCAGGCTAGTTGCGGGTTGCTGTTATATTGCAGAAGACTGCAGGACCTACCCTAGCAGGGATTTGTTTTTTCTAGGCAGCGTCAGGCTGACATCCCTTGCCACGTACCTTGTA